TGGCTTTTCGTTTCTGTTTGCATGGAATATCTTTTGTCATCCTTTTGATTCCTACCGTTAGCCTTATTATTTGCTTCATTCATATTGCTTTGCATCTATTTTCTTTTCTTTTATTTCTATCTTTTACAGTTGAAAGCATAAATCATTGATTTTAAAGTTTTCTCTCTTTTCGCCTAATGTAAGCATTTTAAATGGCAAATTTCTCCCTAAACATTACACAGTTTTGATATCATTTATTTTCATTATCAGTCAATTAAAATATTTGTTTCCATTATGCTGTTTAATTTCTAATTATCTGGGAGCATTTTTAGATGTGATATTTTTCCTGTTTTTTAATTTAAATTTGTTTTGGTCAGAGAACATAATATGTAAGCCTCATGTATCTTGTTGAATAGTTCCCGTGCATTTGCTAGGAAAGTGTAGTGTAGCTTATTGTCAGTTATGTCAAGTATTTTCCTGATTTCCTTTAGTTCTTTGTTCACGGTTTTCTTTAGCTCATGAGAGTATTTAAGACAGCTGGCTTAACATCTGTGCTTAGTGATTCAAATGTCGGGGCTTCCCCAAGCGTGGCTCCTGTCAAACGTTTTCCCTGTGAATGGGCTATGTATTTTTTATTTGGTGTGCTTTGCAATGTTTGACGTTGTTGAGGGCTCTATATTCTGAGAATAATATTTTGGTGACTCTGGACATTTCATTTTCCCTACTTGCAGGGATTGCTGATGTTTCAGCTTGTTGGGGGCTGGAGCTGTACTGTAGGTAAACCCACAGCGAACAGCGTTTGATGGGATGTCTCTTCTGTCCTGGGACCCACGGACCCTCGTATACTAAACTCCAGTCTGCCGACTGAAGTGGAGCAAACGCACTTTTAGGTCAGGTGGCCACGTCATGTCACCCAACTGGGGCATTTTCAAAAGGCCGCTTGGACTGGACACCAGAACCGCAGGCCCAACCAGGCTCGTCCGAGACAGGTGAGGATGTGTGGGCGCTCTGCTTACATGGCCTCTTACCAGGAGGCTGGAAAGCCATCACTCCCGTCGTGTCCAAAAGCAAAGAGGTGAACACGAGAGCACACTGAGAAAGAAACACTTAAACAAGCCGGGCGCGGTGGCTCACGCCTGTCATCCTAGCACTCTGGGAGGCCGAGGCGGGAGGATCGCTTGAGGTCAGGAGTTTGAAACCAGGTTTCATAAGAGCAAGACCCCGTCTCTACTAAAAACAGAAAGAAATGAATTGGCCAACTAAAAAAATATATATATAGAGAAAAAATGAGCCGGGCATGGTGTCACATGCCTGTAGTCCCAGCTATTCAGGAGGCTGAGGCAGGAGGATCGCTTGAGCCCAGGAGTTTGAGGTTGCTGTGAGCTAGGCTGACGCCACGGCACTCTAGCCCAGGGAAACAGAATAAGACTGTCTCAAAAAAAAAAAAAAAAAAAAAAAAAAAAAAAAAAAAAAACCACAAGAAAACAAAACTTAAACAGCTCAACCAGGAGAGAACAAAGCCAAGTGACATAACCATGAAGATTTAAGGCTAGTTGATTGCAAAAGGCAGTAGGAGAGTGAGGGGTGAAAAGGAAGGACACAAGAAAATACAGACCTGGCCAAACCAAATGAATCTCCAAAACCCAGCACTTACAAAACAAGCAGAAACATAAAACGTCAGTGAGAGCCTGTACCAGACCAATTGAGTCCAACTTGCAATGGCTGTATAAGAAAATGCGTCTTGAAGCCACAACAAAATCTAAATGGAAATCAGATGACTTCGGAGAACAAAAGCCAGCGATGACTCATAAAAATACCCCTTGTAAGGAAAGTGAACAGAAAAACAGAGAAACGTCCAAATGAAATGCGTTTTGCTGGTTCAGGGTCTGGTCCAGCAGAAGGTTCCTCGTGGCTTATCAAGTCACAGAAACAAACCCTCCTTCTGGAACAGATCCCTCCACTGGGTTGGGAAGGTTAGGCGGAGGGCGTGTGTGTGTGTGTGTGTGTGTGTGTGTGTGTGTGTGTCTGTGTGTGTGTGTCTGTGTGTGTGTGTGTGTCTGTGTGTGCAGCTGAGTGAGATAAATGTGGAGCTGCCTAAGGCTTAGCAAATGCGTTCTGGGACTCCCAGCCTCCCTGACTCCCAATTTCCAGTCCGTCTGCCTGCCGGGCCCTGGCTGGACCCCCGCAGTGGAGAGGCATCAGCCTGCCCAGGCTTAGAGTAAACACCACCTGCTCCTGGGCTGCAGGTGTTGCAAGTAGCAAAGACAGATGGAAGCTCTGAGCAGGGTTTTTTTCTTTTTTTGAGACAGAGTCTCACTCTGTTGCCCAGGCTAGAGTGAGTGCCGTCGTGTCAGCCTCGCTCACAGCAACCTCAAACTCCTGGGCTCAAGCGATCCTCCTGCCTCAGCCTCCCGAGTAGCTGTGACACCTTTTGTACATATATTTTAGCTGTCCAATTAACTTCTTTCTATTTATAGTAGAGATGGGGTCTTGCTCTTACTCAGGCTGGTCTCGAACTCCCGACCTCGAGCGATCCGCCCGCCTCGGGCGCCCAGAGTGCTAGGATTACAGGCGTGAGCCACCGCGCCTGGCCGTGTCCAGGCCTTTAAAATTCTGAAACCCTTAATCCCCCCTCACACAAGACAGCCTGGGGAAGCAATCGTCACCCAGCAGGACGGGGCGGCACTTCTGGCAGAACCCTGCAACGCAGAGGAAGCTGACGCTCTCTCCAAATGGTTAAAGGGTTTTGCTGTGTCCAGAAAAGTTTGTCCTTCCTTCCTTCCTCCCTTCCTTCTTCATTAAATACCCTGCTCAGGCCGGGCTCGGTGACTCACGCCTGTCATCCTAGCACTCTGGGAGGCCGAGGCGGGCGGATCGCTCAAGGTCAGAAATTCGAAACCAGCCTGAGCAAAAGCGAGACCCCCATCTCTACTAAAAATAGAGATAAATTAATTGGACAACTAAAAATATATATACAAAAAATTAGCCGGGCATGGTGGCGCATGCCTGTAATCCTAGCACTCTGTCCTTCTCCCCCTCTGCTTCCTGGGTCTCAAATAAACCTCCTTGTCTCAGGCCCTGCTTTGGGAAACCCAACCAAGACATCATCTGTTTACTCTGTCTAATGTAAAAACCCCACATGGTTTTGCTTTCTGCCTTCTGCTCCCGGAACTGTGAGTACCTTAACCCAAGAAAAGCATATATTAATAATAAACGTTCTTGTTTTGTTATTTGTTTTTATACTGGGTCTCACTATGTCACCCATGCTGGAGCAAAATGGCGAGATCCTAGCTCACAGCAGCCTCAAACTCCTGGGCTCAAGTGATCCTCCTGCCTCAGCCTCCTGAGTAGCTGGGACTATAGTCACGAGCCATCGCACCCTGCTAATTTTTATTTTTTTGTATAAGACAAGAGTCTGGCTTTGTTGCCTGGGCTGGTCTTGAATTCCTGGCCTCAAGCAAGCCTCCCACCTTGGCATCCCAAAGTGTTGGGATTACAGGCGTGAGCCACTGTCACCAGCCAGGCTTCTTGTTTATTGAGCATGTATTATGCGCCAGCCAAAGTGCAAAGGGAAAAAGTTAATATGGCAAGTAAAATATACTAACAACAAAAAGAGACCTTTCTTCCCCTGGTGCTGACATAAGTTATAGCAGTGGGAGGATAAATATTTCTACTGCTTCCTTCCTCATTCGGAGGGCAAAGGGAATTGCCAGCTAGACCTGAGATTTTCATCTCGTTAACGAGCAGATGGGATGCTGCGGGTTCTGAGGCTGCTCTGCCATGCCAGAGGACGGAGGATTCTTCTAGAGCAGGGCCCCTTAATGAGCTTTTGGAGATGCAGGGGTAGGAGCAGTCTTAATTGAAGGTGGGGGCTGAAAGAGCTAAAAACACAAACATTTGGGAAGAAGTCTACAACTACGACTATGGGAAGGAAAAAGTGGGTGAGGCCTGGGAGTGTGGCCAGGGCGAGGTCCCCACAGAGACAGGCCCAGTGACAACTGTCCACAGAGGAATGTCTAATGAGCCTACAGGTGGGTTTCCTTGATTGTTGCATTGTGCTGGGAGATGATTCCCCTCCGCTGCCCCCAACCTTTCTCATCGTGGGCCACACAATTGCCTCGTGTCAGCCAACTCTTGATGTGGATGGCCAATGAGATAGTCCACATTTCCTCAACGTGGGGCAAAGAAAAGAAACCAGCAGCAAAATACAAGTCCCGATACGGTGGAAATGCGGTTTCACAATGTAGAGGGGAAGGCAGACTTGGCCTACGATTTTTTAAAAGGTAAAGCGACTCAAAGAGCATCAGTTTGGGGGCTTAAGGGATACCCGATGATTGGATTATAAATTCATTATCTCACTTAATTCTCATTATCTCACTTAACTCTGTGGGGAGTTAATGTGACTTGTCCAAGGTCTCAAAGGTGGGATTTGAACTCAGCTCTGACTCCGAACCCTCCCGTGCCAGGCATACTTGAGCGGACTATGTCAGACTAGAAAGCAATTCGCTTCTCACTCAGATCTGCCCAGCCCATTGCAACTGTGCTTTTTAAAACCCTGGTTTAAAATGTTTTTCACATTGGCTAAAAATATAAGATAAAGGACTTGAAGATTCATCAGATTTGTTCTTCCCTCTTTTCACCCTCTAATCATCAGGGAAGAAATTAGTTCTTCTACATTTTATCCATCTTCAAAATCTTGAGTGGGTCTCGCACACACACACACACACACACACACACACACAACCCATAGTCTATTTGGGAAAGTGCACACTGAAGTTATATATATCCCACTGCATTTTTATTGCTGGCCACATACAGAAAGAGTTGCTTGCTTGGGGCCTCTGTGCAGGAACCAGAGACCCAGTTGCTGGAAGGATACCTCTTACAGTGTTTGGATTGTGCTAGAAAGAACATCACGGCCTGTGGTCTTCCACATATATATGCAGCACCATAAAAAAATACGTTCAATCTCTTCAGGGTACAGGAGAAAACACACATTCATTCATTCAGGAGGTACTTACTGAGTTCCTTCTATGCATCCGGCATTGTTACAGTCACTTGGGATCAAATTAGTGCAAAATCTCTCTTCCCCTGTGAAGTAATGGGGAAGGGCGGAAGATAAACAATAAGTGTAAGAATAAATCAGCTACAGAGAATAGTACATGAATGCAATGAAAAGGAGAAAGGAGTGGGTACGTTGCGATTTGCTGTGTTAAATGGGATAGTCTAGGACCCACGGAAAAGGTAAGAGTTGTATGAAGACTCGAATGGGAATAATATGTGAACAAAACAAATAGGAAGCCCCCGGGGATCTCACGGACTCTGGCTGGGCATTGACATTCCGGGCCGGAAGCTCTGCCCGTCTTGCGGCTGTGCCAGTGGGATTCCACAGGGTGGCAGCACACGCTAGCGAGGCCTGCAGCCCGCAGGGACGTTGAAGGTGCCGGCTTTTGCTGCCAACTGCAGAGGGGGTCTCGGGGAATCTGTGTGTGAGCTGAGTGTCTGTCAAGGCATTTCTCCCTTTCCTCGTTTCACGGCGTCAGCTGGAGCTCTGCAGACGCAAGGCTCTTTGTGACAATGACAGCAACGCTGGCTTTCACATACTGAGAATTTCCGACGCGCCGTGTGCTGCTTGCATTATCTCATTGGATCTCCTTATAGTCTCCTGCCCTGATCTCATTAGAACGTCACCACTTCTCAGAGGAGGGTACCGAGGCTAAGAATCATGTCACAAATGTAACATGTGACCAATATAAATATTCGAACAACACAAAGTTATATAAAGGGAAACAGAACGGAGACAAAATCTCTTCCCCACCATGTCAACCCCTCATGTGAGAGTCTGTACTTTTCTATAATTAAAAAGGTAATTATCTGTATCTGAGGCTATATAAACATAATATCTGAACACCATAAATTTTTTAAGCAGTGTAGAATAATATAACATGAAGATTATATCTCTTTTAATCTTACTACCTAGAAAGAATTGCCTAGAACATTTTTTTTTTCTGGTAATACCTATTAAAACTTTAATGCACACTTTTATGGCTTTCTTTCTTTTTTCTTTTCTTTTTTTTTTTTTTGAGACAGAGTCTTGCTTTGTTGCTCAGGCTAGAAGTGAGTGCCATGGCATCAGCCTAGCTCACAGCAACCTCAAACTCCTGGGCTCAAGCGATCCTCCTGCTTCAGCCTCCCGAGTAGCTGGGACTACAGGCATGCACCACCCTGCCCGGCTAATTTTTTTCTCTATATATTAGTTGACCAATTATTTCTTTCTATTTTAGGTAGAGACGGGGGTCTCGGTCTTGCTCAGGGTGGTTTTGAACTCCTCACCTTGAGCAATCTGCCTGCCTTGGCCTCCTAGAGTGCTAGGATTACAGGCGTGAGCCACTGTGCCTGGCCATGGCTTTCGTTCTTGATTTGTCAACTTCAGAACATAGCTATGGACTCCTTGCTAGCTCACTGTTACTCAACAACCTCCCAATTTTTGTTACATCTTGGTTTTGTTTAGTTCTTTTTTCTACCGATTAATTTTGGGGCTGTGGATAATACATGTAAGATTCTCTTTCTTTCTTTCTTTCTTTCTTTCTTTCTTTCTTTCCTTTCTTTCTTTCTTTCCTCTTTCCTTCCTTTCCTTTCCTTTCTTCCTTCTTCCTTTCCTTTTTCCTTTCCTTTCTCCTTTCCTTTCCTTTCCTTTCCTTTCTTTCCTTCCTTTCCTTCCTTTCCTTTCCTTTCCTTTCCTTTTCCTTTCCTTCTCTTTCCTTTTCTTTCCTTTCCTTTCCTTTCCTTCCTTTCCTTTCCTTTCCTTTCTTCCTTTCCTTTCCTTTCTTGAGATAAGGTCTCATTCTGTTGCCCAGGATGAAGTACAGTGGCTTGATCATAGCTTACTGCAGCCCCGAACTCCTCCCAAGCGATCCTCCCTCTTCGGCTTCCCAAAGTGCTGGGATTACAGGCATGAGCCACTGCACCCAGCCTCTATTTTTGGCATATAAAATTTAGAACATGCCAGTTAACTTTGTTTTTGTTTTTTAACAAAGAGAGGAAATTAGTAGTGCATTTGTATTTATTCCATTTCCTGTGGTCCGGTGTCCTTCTGTTTTTTACAACTCACTGGTCAAAGTTTGCTCTAACAGAAGTTAATTCCCGCGCAATGCTGGTCACATCATCCAGCCCCTGGGCTCTTCTTATCCACCACATGACACACAGTGTCGCACTTGGTTTGTGTTTAGATTTTGCTTTGATCCAAGTGTTACGACGGTAGTGCAAAAGTCAGTGGCACTTGTGGGAACACGTTCTAATTGTGCCCTGTATCCACTCTGCCGTGCGTCCACAGGAGGACATCGTTTGGGCAGGCATGTGGCTGTCCCCAAGAGAGAGAACATGCCTCAGAGGCAGGTGACCATGCGATGAGTTTTGGCCTAGAGGATGTGAGCAGCATCGTTGTGTGGCTGCTTCAGGGCGCCTTCTCTGTGGCCCTCCCCCAGCTTGTCGAGAGGAGGGGGCTTTGGACCAGCTAGGTGGCACCAGCCCCTGGGCTTGGCAGAGGGGCAGCTGAGAGAGGTCTTGCTGCCCCTAGCACGGCATGGGGTGACGCTTCCGGACAGGAACTGAACTACCCACCTATGGATTTTCATGTGAGCAGGGAATAAACTTTCTCTCTTACTTGAGCTATTGTTTTTTGTGGACATTTTGTGGCTGTTGTGGTGACTGCAATCGAATATGATCCCAACTAATAGGGTTTTGAAAGACTTATAATAAAAGAAACAGCAGTTGCCAGGCCCATGTCTGGGTCCTCAGCCAGGAGCAACACATTTTGCCGTTTCTTCCCATATTTGCACCCAAAATTCTAAATAATATTCTTTGGCTACTCTTCCTTAATTTTGGCAATATTATTGGCTATTTTTATGGTTGATGAGGACTTTACTCTCTTACATCTTTCCTTCCCCTTCACTCACCCTCTCGATATAGTTCTATCATAATTTATTTAGTTAAATTGACATTCTTTATTAAATACATTGATATGATTAAATAAATATTATTCACCGATGAGGCAAATTGTTAATTTTGCTTACATTTCTTCTTCTTCTGTATACTCTTCTTTTTTTAGAAGTGTGAGTTTTCTTGGCAATTGTGAAGGTTTCTTTAATCCTCCTATTAGATAGGTGTTTCCATTTCCAGTTTTTAGCTGAAGACTTTGAGGCCTTTTTTTTTTGTTCCCACTCTAATGATAATAGTGATTAATTTATTGGGTTTGTGCATTATAGCACACACTGAGCTTGATGCCCATTGAGTGCTCAATGATGCCTACCATTGTCCCCATTTTACAGGTCAGGAAGTCAAGGCAATAGAGCTTACATGACTTGCCCAGGGTCATGAAATCAGGATTTAAACTCAGGTGCTTTTGACCTCAGAGCTCATGCACATCTTAACCCTCTTCCTTGGGAATGGTGTGAGGAGAAGAGAGGGACGTAGTCACAGTATTTAAATTCAGGACAGTATAAGCATGAGCAGACAGAACAGCTCAGACTAGCCTGATCAGAAAGGAAGACAGATGTTATTAACCAGTGCACGCCAGATAAATGTCAGTCCTGTCTTAACTAAGGACCCCTGACTCAGTCTAAGATGGAAACCCAGCCTTGGTTTTTTTTTTTTTTTGCTCTGGTCTGCAGATGAACCTGGACATTTTGCTTTAAAGTAGAAGAAGACCAAATAACAGGTACCTACAGGCTTCTACTTTCCAAATAGTAACTTTAGCCTCCAAGGAATTAAACAACTTGCCTATGGCCCCACAGCTAAAATGGTAGGAGGGGGAACTTGCCCAGGGGCCTCGGTTTCCAGAGTCCAGGCTTTTCTCCTTACGCTGAGACCTGCTTCATGGTTGTGCTCTCAAACACCACCATCCAGAGGACTTGGCAAAGACATTTTGCAAATTAAAACCCATGCATATATGATGAAAAAAAAGAGGTGATTCTGCTACTTGTGTGTGCCGGTGTCTGTCTGGGAGGTGACCTGGGATGCCAACACCCACAATTCCTCGGGAGATACTCCGATGATTTTAGGGACAACATAATGGGATCTTTAAATTCAGGGCTGTTTGAGAAAATCTGGGCACCTTTCACCAGACTAGAGACATTGGAGGTAATGAGAGTAATAATGAGACGTTAATGAAGTAATGGCCCAACTCCTGCCCGTTGAGTCAGGGCCTTCCTGCGTGTGAATAAATAACGAATTACAGGGATCATCTTACCTGAGATTTACAGAGTCTCTCCCTGAGGATCAGTCAGAGGAAGTTTTTTTTTTTTTAATTATCTTGAATTATTAAGATTACCATTTAGTAGTGAATAATTGTTTCCTATTGGACTCTCAAATGTGCTTAATTATACTTGGAGAACAATTTGCTTGAGCTTTATAAATAAACCTGAATATTACTCAAGTCCCATTTTTTTTTAAAACCCCTAGGGGAATATGCTACTAATATAAATGAAATCAATGTCTACGCAATTCCCAGAGTAGAAGAGTGTCCTTACCCTGGTCTATAAAATTAGTAATATAATGCTTACCTCTTGGGGTTGGAGAAGGCTGAGCGATGGTAACCAGCCACTGGCTACATACCAGCCTGTCCCAAGTGCTTTATGTATATTAACTCATCATCCTCGCAATGACCCCACGAGGTGAGAGCTATGGTTATCCTTAAACGGAGAACTGAAGCACAGAGAGGTTAAGTAACTTGCCTTAGTCACACAGCAACGGAAAGATAGACCTGGGATTTTAACCCAGACTGCCTGACCGTTTCTGCAGCGCTCACGCTCCAGGAAACAAGAGGGAGAGGTCAGGTTGGTACAGACGGTGTGCACCAAAAGCCCATGGGAGGCAAAAGCAGCTGGCTAGAGCAGGAGAGCATAGTTAGGTCACGGCCAGTTGATGAGGTTAGGTGCTTAGAGTCTCAAGAAACTGGAAAGAGAGAAGGAAAAGTGTACTCAAAACTAGAAAGGGACTAGAGGTCTATGTGCCACACCCATAGCTCGAGGACCCACAGCCGCGGGCTGGCCATGCCCTGGGTGGGGAGGGCGGGGCTGGCAAGAGCTCAGAGGGAATGGCTTTTCGGGGCCCCTGGGGAGGGCGCACTCAGACGCACGCCCTAGAGCTCTGGCCCTCGCAGGGATTCCCCTGCCCTGCAACACGGTGGGGAAGCAGAGCGCCTCTGACTTCAAGGGACCACTTACTTCTTGCCGATGGGAAGCTCTATGGTAACCAGTGTGGAACAAACAAGGATGTCGCCTCCTTACACGTTCCGCTCTGCACAGCGCCCCAGGAGCTTTGAACAACCCGAGGAGAGGAACTGAATTTCAGAGGGTCTGAGCTGATAGCGGTTAGCAGTTGAATTTAATCAATTGTCTAAGGGAAGAAATGCATCATTTTAGATAGGAGTGTAAATGAAACACAGCTGGCTGTGGGTTGATCATTTTTGCAGCCATGCAGAGAGGTGCATGGAGGTTCATTACACTGTTTCATCTACTTTTTTTGTGTGTTTCTATTCAGAACGGAAAGATTTTTTTTTTAAAAGAAATATAGCATTTCTTGCACATCTGAGATTACGGTTATACATTCTGACCTGTAACAAAAACCAAAAGGAATCTAAACTGCGTGTCTTGTATGTTTGATTTTGGAAGATAGGATACGTGCTCAGTTAAATACATATGAATGCACTGAAGCTGCAAATTTCGGCACAGGGTGGAGATGCCCTCCCTTGCTTGCTTTCAATAGCTAACAGTTGCATTAGACCTATTCAGGGCTCTAACATATCTTATCCTAACTGATTTTCACAACACCTGTGACACAGGTAAAGCAGATGTTATTATTCCTATTTTTCAAGATAAAAAAAATCAAGACAGAGAAATTGTGATTTTTCCGAAACTCCTGTGGCAAGCAAAAGGGAACCAGGAGTCAAGTCTTTGAAAGTCAAGCCACAGAATCGCCTTCATTAGCATTTCCCAGAGAGCTTCGTACAATATTGGGGCTGTAACAGGCTCTTGAGTCTTTATTGATTAGCTGGCCATAGTTGCCATGAGTTATTTATTTAGAAATAGTAAAATGGAAATGGATTTAAATGAGCATCCCATTCTATGCTTTTTCTATTTCAAAAATGTCTATTTCATTTAAAGATATACCCTTCACAGCTAAGGCCTGTTTGCAGAGGTCCAGAGAAATAGAAAGAACTCCATTAATATTTTGGTTTTGTTTTTGTTTTTTTTTTGAGACAGAGTCTCACTCTGTTGCCTGGGCTAGAGTGCTGTGGCGTCAGCCTAGCTCACAGCAACCCAAACTCCTGAGCTCAAGCGATCCTCCTGCCTCAGCCTCCCGAGTAGCTGGGACTACAGGCATGCGCCACCATGTCCGGCTAATTTTTGTATATATTTTTAGTTGTCCAGCTAATTTCTTTCTATTTATTTTTTTTAGTAGAGACGGGGTCTCGCTCTTGCTCAGGCTAGTCTCGAACTCCTGAGCTCAAACGATCCTCCCTCCTCTGCCTCCTAGATCTATGAATATGTTAAAAGAAAACTTCCCTGGGCAGGGAATCACTGAAGATCTGCCGGCCAGTTCTGTTCATGGCGTGAAACTTACACCAGTGGTTTCCTCAAACTTCTGAATGTGACAGTGGAGCAAGAGAGGCCTGCGTCACTCTCGAAATCCCTTCAATTCCTAGAGCAAATGATAGCTAGTGTTTGAAAACCTCATTCTTAGTTTTGCCAAATGTAAGAAGAAAAATATTTCTGTGTGTCTGTTTGAAAAAGGCCATAATAGTTAGCTTATTTCTTTTTAACTTTCTTTTTTCAGGGAAGCTTAGGAGGCTTTTTCCCTTTAGTTAAACATAGCTTTCGAAAATCAGAAGTATAAAATCTCTCCACTTTACTCTTTCATTCTTTTCCTCCTCCATAGAAGTATGGTGCCCGTCAGTATCTACCCATGCCGGGCAGAAGGGGGTAGGAAGGAAGATGCCACTTTCTGAGACCTCTCATTGGGGTTCTTTGCACAAAAGAAAAAAACCCATGGAGGCCAAGGCATCAGGATTTTTGACAACCTCTCTGCACTGGTGGAGGAGTATTTGCATTTGATCCATTGTAGTGTTCTTTATTTCCTACAAACTACTTTGAAGTCAGGGATATTCCTTGGGCTTTGGATTGAAGCGTTTGGATGGATTTGTCATTGATGAGCTCTGTAGTTGGGTGACAGAGTTGATTACTCCTGCCCTCTCCCATCTCCTCCTCCTTTTTTTCTTCCTTCTCTTCTTTGTAGTCAACTCTCTTCTCTGCCTCCTCCTCCATCTCCTCTGCTTCCTTCTCCTCTTCTCCATCTTGTCCTTTTTAAATAAGTCCAAACAATTTTCAGAAAGAACACGGAGTTTGCCGTGATCAAGTTTGTCTTTAACTTGCTTAGTCGTGTAGCTAGAATTGAGTGATTACATCTGCAACAGTGGATTACAAGAGCTCTGCATTTGGAGTTGGTTGTCCCAAGTTGTAGCATTGATTTGACTTTTATTGGAGTTGGAAGGGGGCCAATGAATAGCATTGCATTCCTCTCTCCCCCCATCCCTGTTCACAACCAATTGAAGGATGGACTCATGTGAGACAGAAGATTAAAATACACGTTCGTTGTTGGTAAAAATCAATTGCATAATGTGGCCTGCTCTGCAGCCACTTCTAGGCCTCTTAAGTATTTCGCCCAAGTCTAAGCTTGGTGCATCTCACCTGGGAAACATTGCCGTACTCACTGCCTGGGGCACAGGAAGAAAGATGAACTTGTAGACCCGATTGTTAACAGAAATGCTGGGCTCAACTCTTAGACCCTTACTATTTGAAAGTAGCAACAGAGCATAAAACACTCATTTCATCCCACGTGCTGATCCAAAGCCAAAAGGAAAGAGAGGTCAAAGCAGCGGCTCCACTGTTTCTCCCAACGTTCTCTGTGTGCCAGCCGATTTTCCGAACACTTGCAGGAATTCATCCGTTTAGTTCCGTGAGCACTGGATGAGACGGGCGCAACTGTCGCCAACCCGATTCTGGCCGTTGAGGAAACCGAGGCACAGAGGGAGTAAATACTGTGCTGTCAGCTGCTGGACTTGAGGTTTGAACCTGCCCCGGCTCCAGGGCCTCACATTCCACCTTTTTCCAGACCGCTTCGGAGATGTTGCTTGTTTCTTGGGGAGGACCGAAGGAGCAGGGAGGAAAAGAGGGCCGGGACCTGACAAGTCCCACTGTCATCACTGTGGGGCCAAGAGAGGGCAAGTCACTCCTCTCCAGACCCCAGGCGCCTCTTTGGTAAAGCGAGTGCTGCATGTGTGACAGGCACACAGACTCCATCCCCTCTTGCCCCCAAACGACATTATGATCAGTCGTAGCCCAGGCTGGTGGGGCCTGACACATGTACTATTTGGGGGACTTCTTTTAAGAAAAAAGAATACAAAAATCAAAATTTAAAAACTCTGTATGAAAGTTAAAGTATATTCATACAATGATAAAAGGCAGAGTTTGTGATTCAGACTGTAAACTGTCTTTGGGGGTAGGCTGGATATTCTTTCTCTCAAAGCTTGTTTGGTTCTTCTCCTGCAGATACACAAGGCTTTGTAGACCAATTCCCATCCAGTCAGTTAGCATCTGTCTTGCACCTGTTTGTTAGACAAGGTGGGTCTCTTTGAAGGCTTCACCTGTCATGCACCAGAGTTCAGAACAAACACCACAGTTTAAGGAATCCCCTTTGTTGGAGAAGGAGGAAATTTACATAGAGTAAGATCAGCAAGAGAAGAGAAGGTGGGAGTCCTCCATCCCCTCCTTATTCTGCAAAAGTTCATACCAGGCTAGGGAGTTTTGCTGTGTTCCCCTGTGGAGGGGAATTGTAGGCTTCTTGGTTCTAGGCAGTCTGGATTTGGGAATTAGCCATTTGGAAGGAGTTTTCTGGCGATATCAGCTGCGCAGACCTGGGAGTCTATGGGATGTTGCATCTTTCCTATAAGGGAAAGTGGGGCCCTGATCCCATGGGGAGCTGAGCTTGAATGCAGCCCTCCTTGTAGAAGAAACGGGCACCTCTGAACTGATCCCAGCTAGTCTGCTGTCTGGTTAATCTGGAATCAATATGCTGGATCACCTTCAGACATTTTTACTTATTGGACCTAATTTAGGCTCACATTAACTGAAGCTTTAAAATAGTTCAGTATATGGTCGGGCGAGGTGGCTCACGCCTGTAATCCCAGCACTCTGAGAGGCCGTGGCGTGCGGATTGCTCAAGGTCAGGAGTTCGAAACCAGCCTGAGCAAGAACAAGACCCCGTCTCTACTATAAATAGAAACAAATTAATTGGCCAAGGCCGGACGCGGTGGCTCACACCTGTAATCCTAGCACTCTGGGAGGTCAAGGCAGGCGGATGGATTGAGCTCAGGAGTTTGAGACCAGCCTGACCAAGAGCGAGACCCCGTCTCTATTATAAACAGAAAAAAATTAATTGGCCAACTAATATTTATAGAAAAAATTAGCCGGGCATGGTGGCGCATGCCTGTAGTCCCAGCTACTTGGGAGGCTGAGGCAGGAGGATCGCTTGAGCCCAGGAGTTTGAGGTTGCTGTGAGCTAGGCTGACGCCACGGCACTCCCTCTAGCCTGGGCAACAGAGCGAGACTCTGTCTCAAAAAAAAAAAAAATAGTTCAGTATATAGTCTATGATTTATTGAGCACATGCTATGTGCTCATCAAAAAGACTGTATCTTGTATAACCCTACTAACTGTGTGGGGTACTATTATCATCCCCGTTTTATAGAGAAAGGAACAGAGGCTCAGAGAGATGATGAAACTCACCTCTGTCACACACCTAGTACGTGGCAGACCTGGAAATCGACTCTCATGCCAGAGCCAGTGTTCTGAAACCTTGTGCCGTGATGTCTCCACGATGCGTGGCGGGGGTGGGAAAATCCAAGGCTTAGAGAACCAGGCTCTCCGTTCTGGGACCTGCTCTGTCAGTCTTCACCCTGCACTTGTGGACAAGCCGCTTGCAGCCTCAGAGCTGGAGCATGAGGGGAGGAATAAGGCCCAGAGCTTAGAGTGACGGCAGGATTAAAGATCATTTCCTAAAGGGGAGCACTACAAAAACGAAGCAGAGTTTATGTCTTTATTTTTGGATCTTTGTTGTCTACTGGGTACTCGATGATAGATGTTAAATAAATAAATGAAATGAGAAGTTTTATTTGTTCAAGACTCAGAATTTTGGTGTGATTTGGAAAACAAAAGTCAAAAAAAATAAAGTAACTCGATAAGATCCTATTTTAGTTCAAATATCTTTGATAATAAGCCATAAAAGAGAACACACACCAGAGAGAGAGAGAGAGAGAGAGAGAGATCACACTGCACACACCACACACTGCCAATGATTCTCAAATTTAAGTGTGACTACATTACCTGGCAAAGTTTTCAATGAGACCCAAGGACTTCCTTTCGAATCGGCGCTGACATCACACTACCAGATTAATTTTTTTAAATTGATCTGTCTTGGGTGTATCTTGGAGGTAGAAACGAAGAAACTATATTTCTTCCTTTCTCACCTTTCTAGTGTAATTTTCAGGTACAAATATAGATTGAAGTGTTGCTGTTGTTAAAATGACACACTTTTTCACATAGGCTAAGATTAGAGAGTTTCCGAAGAGAAATTCACAAGCCTGGGGTCCAGCCAGGGAGCCCCTCATTGCTGATTTTCCAATATCAATCAGCTCACCTGAGTTTATTGAGCACCTACTATGAGCTACGGTGAGTCCAAGAGACATTATGAAGATGTTCTTGCCTTAATGTATTTGCCATGTGGTTGAAGAATTAAGACATAAACATAGACAATCCTACTAACAATGCAGTTAGTGAGTCAGAATTAGGACTCTTCTGGATTGAAAGTAATAGAACTCCGCTTAAGCTGTGATATGAGATTTATTACTATCATAATGGTAGTGGTAGATCCTAACCACCCTCCCCCACAAAGAAAAGTAATGCTGCAAGGCCTTATCTAGAACCAAGAGTCCAACTCCATCAGAGTTCTTATTTCCTCATATTTCAGCTTTCTCTGTTTCCCAGTCCACATGGTATAACACGGCCACCCAGAGCTCCAACGTGTACACTCCTCAGTTCAGAAGAAAAGATAGACAAGTACTGGGAGTCTCAATTCTAAATCTTAGGGCTTATTCGCTCGGTTTGAGCCAGATGCCCCGCCCTGATCTAACCACCTGTGACCAGGAAGCCAAACATCACTAAAGAAACGCTGTCCTTGGCCGGAAACGGTGGCTCACGCCTGTAATCTTAGCACTCTGGGAGGCCGAGGTGGGCAGATCGCTCGAGGTCAGGAGTTCGAAACCAGCCTGAGCAAGAGCGAGACCCCCGTCTCTACTATAAATAGAAAGAAATTAATTGGCCAACTAATATATATATAGAAAAAAAAAATGAGCCGGGCATGGTGGCCCATGCCTGTAGTCCCAGCTACTCGGGAGGCTGAGGCAGGAGGATCGCTTGAGCCCAGGAGTTTAGGTTGCTGTGAGCTAGGCTGACGCCACGGCACTCACTCTAGCCTGGGCAACAAAGTGAGACTCTGTCTGAAAAAAAAAAAAAAAGAAAGAAACTCTGCCCTTTAACCATATGGCTCAGGGAAGCAGGGCTGTCCTATATGTGTATAAAATACAATTTTATTAGCAGGATGTTCAAAGGCTACAAATAACAGAGAAACTAACAGAGGCTTAATACTAACAGAGAATAAAATATTATAATTAACCACATACCGAGATGCTGAGGGCGGTCAGTCCTAGGGTGAATTCAGTGGCTTAATCACTCCGGGGCTCTGAGCAGGTCTTGTAGACAGTCTTGGCATTTTCCCCATAGCCACAAGACGGCTGCTGTGAATCGAGATGAGATATCCTCACATGATTGTTTCCGAAAGCCAGGGGGTATCTGGAAAAAGACATCTCCTTGCATACTTCTCTCCTTTATCATATAAAAGAGCTCTTGCCCAGAAACGCTCCCAAAGAGCATGCACTTAAGTTACATTGGGCAGTGCTGGGTCACAAGGACAAGACTAACTTCAAGTGCATCTGGAAAAAGGAGTCTGAGCTTTTCATTTTCTGCAATGGGAGGCGACCAACTAAGACAGAAGGGAGTTGAGAGTTGGCTACTAAAAAGCCAATCCAAAGTCAGAAACAGTGATGGACCACCAAATAAGTAGCATAGCCGTGCTGTCTAATAGAATTTTCTGAGATAAGGAGAATGCTCCATACCTGTTTGTTCAATCTCACAACCACTTGCCACTTGTGGCTACCGAGCACTAGACACGCAGCTAGTGTGACCCAGAAACTAAATTTTAAATTTTATTTAAATTTAATTAATTTAAATTCAAAAAAGCACAGGAGGTCAGTGACTACTGTCTTGGTTAGTGTGAAATTATAGATGATATCTTCTTGGAGTTATCTTTTTGGAGGTCAGAGGCAAAACAGTGACATCACTGTGAGCCAGAATAATCTGGTAGCCTTCATGGGTGGGGGACGGGGAGGAACTTGAAGTGGATTTGAAGGATGATTGGGGTTTGGGAGTTTTCCAGGAGGGTAAGCTTACTCTGAGGCAGGGAGGCAGAAAGTAATAGGGCATTCTTAGGAGGTGCTAATCAGATTAGGTGGACAGAAATAGATATCTGTGGAGGAGTGGGCAAAAAGTGGAAAAGTACTTAAGTGAGATGGCAGAAATGCTTGGAAGCCAGCTTGGACCACGTGCAACAAGCATTTACATCATTGAAAGAAGAGTAAGATATGAAGTAGCACTTAGGAAAGATTAACCTGGTGATAGTAAGAAAGGAAAATAGAGGGCCAGAAATTCAGCCATGATAGTATTTTCAAATTTTTCATGTTATGGCACATAGGTATGCGTTGCTCACTGGGGAAAATGGACCAGACAGCTGCTGACCAAAGGTAACCATCCCAGGGACCCCAGCTGCCCGGGGCATTCGAATGAGGACCACTGTCTTCTCTCAGCCCAGCAGTGGATGCCAGCACACAGCTGGGACCCTCCAAGGTAGCAAACGGTCCTGAATAAAAGTTACGTATACGAAAGAGAAGGAAAATGAATGAAATATTTCATAGGGGACATTGAAAGGAATTGGGACCTAATTAGAGGTTTTTAGGGTAGATGTCAGAGTTGACAATAACTCTGAAATTTTGAGAATTGTTATACCAGAAATAAAAGTACCAATGCAAGATTGTTTTGAAGGGACATGGTGATTTCAGTGGTAAGATACGGGGGTGAAAATTGGACCCCTGTGGTGAATTGTGTCATTGGTGGCCCCCCAGCAATCCATGGCCCCAGTAATCATGCTTTTGTGTATTTTGCCCCCCCTTCCCCCCCCCCCCCCATTGACTCTAGGCTTGGCCGTGTGACTCTTTGGCCAATGAGACATTAACATAGTGCAAACAGAGGCTGGTAGTGTTTGTGCATTGAGGCCTGTCTTCTTGGAACCAGCCACCATGCTGTAAGGAAGCTCAGGCTAGACCACTGAATGATGAGAGGTCATGGGCAGAGATGTAGGACTATGACGGTCCCTCTTGCATGCTTCAGTCCTAGGAAAATTCTTACTTAAATCTAGACATAGGAGTGACCTCTGCAGAAGAACCACTCAGCTGAGCTCAATCAATCCAAAAATTGATGAAAAATAATAAATCATTGTTGTTTTAAGCTACTAAGCTTTGGGTATTATATTAGGTAGCAATAGATAATGGGAACAATATCCAAATAAAAATGTAGGTCCTTGGTGAGGTCCTTGATGAGATGGGCCTGGAGCTCTGGGCCTTAGATGTAATTTTGCGATATATGCATGCTTCTGTTGTAGCAGTTATATTATTATTAAACTGGTTGCTTGTGTTCTTCATTAGACTGTGAGCTCTGTGAAAACAGGAACTGGGTCTTTGGTGGTTCCTAATATTCTATACCTGGTTCAAAGTAGATTCTCTAGAGATCCATGCTGAATAATAGAACATGAATAGAGACAGTGAAGTATAGTGGAAAAGGAATGGACTTTGGGATCAAACAGACTGGGTTTGACCTTCAACCCTCCCAATTACCAGTTGTGTGACCTTCAGTAAATCACCAATCCTCACTGTAAAATGTAGGTAATGTCAGCTACTTCTCAAGGGTCATTGAGAGGAGCCAGTAAATACTCAATAAACTGTAGCTATTTTTTTTACTGTAAATAAATGAAGTGATCATCACAATGGGGGAATGAATGAAATTAATACATGAGTAAGAGTAGAAAGAGAAGAACTATGAGCCTGGGGAGGATATGTTGGGAATACAAGAAAGAAAATGATTCAGAAAGAGAGAGAAAGCAAGAGTGAGAGCATAAGAGAGGAAGACCCAGACCAATTGGAATGATAAGAAAAGAGCCAGAATAGGGTGCAATTTTTTGAAAAAAAAAAAAAAAAAAGGCAGATTTTTAAGAAAGACCCAAGTCGACATTGCTACACTTAATGGTTATAATTTACGAGGTATCATTTTGTGTGTTTATTAAATCTCAGGTATTGGTCTAGGACTGTCAGTAGGGAAATCTACTTTTGCAGAAAAACATTAGGCTGTCATGGATGATCTAACTGTATCTTAACTAAGGACAGCATTAGATCCTAGATAAGACAGCCTTCTCAGGCCTTTTCTATCCTTTATAATTTTGACTGAGTACCTGGTGGTTGATAAGAAAGTGAAAGTTTAAACTTTCTGTGGTTGGATTTTCAGCTTCTAGAAGAATCACTGGAAGGAAGGCATGAATTTATGTAGAATAAAGAAATGCTCCAAGAAAGAAGAATACTATCCACATTAGGCCTCTTGGGAGAAATTAAACCTCAGAGATCCAATTCCCTGAAGTCATTTCTCTCTGGAGAGATAAACAACATAATGGCTGAAAAGACGTAGGTCTTGAGACATTGCAAAACACCCAATAAAACCATCACCTACAAAAACAGAATCATGGGTTACGCAAATACCTCTTATTTCATTGTCTTGGAGTTAGAAGGAAATTAGGCCAGACTCTTTTTTTTTTTTTTTTTTTTTTTTTTAACCTGGGTCCTCTAGGCTATAGGCCAGACTCTTAATGAGATCAGATATTGTTGGTGAGAACTTTGAAGTTTACATTTGTGAGTTTTGCTGCCCACTGCATTCTGATTTTGCTTTGGGGGATCATTTCTCTGCCACTCTCACTCAGCTCATGTATTTAGGAGGAGTAGGCGTGTGACTAAGGCCTAGGTAACAGAGTATCATATTCATGTGACCATGAGGATTGGTTCAGAGATGAGCATGTACCCTCAAACTAAGCCAATCAGGTTCAATCAGAGCTAACTCTGAGATTTTGCTGGAGTACCTGACAGATATGCTTCCTTTCCTCTTGGACTTGAATTAAAGGTAATATAAACTTGGAGCTGTCAGATACCATCACTGACAGAGGACTTATCTAAGAATATTGGCCACACACCGGCATTGCCTAAGCCTCTGGATTCAGTGATACCTGAGCTTTTTAGCTATATAAACCAGGCATCCTCAAACTACGGCCTGCGGGCCACATTCGGGTGTTTTTGCCCATTTGTTTTTTTACTTCAAAGTAAGATATGTGCAGTGTGCATAGGAATTTGTTCATAGTTTTGTTTAAACTATAGTCCGGCCCTCCAATGGTCTGAGGGACAGTGAACTGGCCCCCTGTTTAAAAAGTTTGAGGACCCCTGATATAAAACAATAAATATCTTTTATTATTGAAGCCAGTTTGAATCGTTTTTTCTTTTTCTATTACTCACAACTGAAGTAATCCAAACTAATAAAAATAATGGGATGTAAATGTATTAAGTTATGGAAGGGGAAGAGAACCAGCCATATATCATTTAATGTAAGTCTTTCTTTTATGTTGGGCCCAATAACAGCTCCAATATAAAGAAGAGAACTCTGTAGTTAAGAGAAAGGAATAACTTTGTATAATGTCAAAGAAGGAAAGAAATGCCATTTAAACTATATGATGATGGCAGGGCAGCAGTCAATAAATTATTGTAAGACAGTCAAATCCATCCTGTCACTTGTTTTTGTATGTCCCACAAGAATGGTTTTTACATTTTAAATGGTAGAAAATAAATGAAAAGAGAAATGCTTTTTCCTGATGCATGAAAATTATATGAAGTTTATATTTTAGTGTCCAGAAATAAAGTTTTATTGGAATATAGCCATGTCCATTCATTCGTGTATGGCCTATGACTGCTTTTATGCTACAGTGGCAGAGTTGAGTGAGTGAGACAGAGGCTGTATGCTCTGCAAAGCTTAAAATACTCTCTTGCTCTTTATGGGAAAAGTTTGGTGTCCTTAGTGGTGGAAGATATATACATGAAGAAATCTCTCTTCCTGTAACAGGATATGTATATGTTGTATATCAACATACATGTGCACATGTATTAGGGAGTATAAAGGGAGGAAGAAAAAGTTTGGTTTTTTTTGTCCACCTGGGTCTGGACCACCAGCTACAAGAGGTGTCATAGGAGTATTTGCTTTCAATAATCTAAATATTTTTATATTTAATAATCTAAAACAATAATAACAATAATCTAAAAATATTTTTAGCAGCAGAATCCCTTTATGAAAAGAAATTTCTAGAAGTCTCCAGAAATGTATACTATTTCAAAGTGAGCAGTTTTACGTGTGTCTCTAGTGGTGTCTACTAACTGCTGCTCTTGACCTGGCTGCCATTTTCCCCCAGTCTCTGCTGCCCCGACCAATTCCAGCCGTGAATTCCAGGCACTGGTGTGACACCTTAAGATATTTTAAGGAAGATTTGGAAAGCACTGGGATCTTGCCAAAGCTGTCTGCACATCAGAAATCAAGAATGTTTCTT